CTCGTTTGATCAATGTAGGTTTGAAGTCTACTTTGTCAGAGATAAGTATTGCTACTCCTGCTTGTTTTCGGGGGCCATTGGCTTGGTAAATCTTCTTCCAGCCTTTCATCCTAAGCATATGCTTATTTCTGTCGTGAGATGAGTCTCCTGTAAGCAACAAATTGTTGGATCTTCTTTTTTAATCCATTTTGTCAAACGGTGTCTTTTGATGGGTGAATTAAGTCCATTAACATTAAGTGTTAGTACTGATAGGTATGTGGTGATTCCTGCCATTTAGTTATCTTAGTTGTTTGAAGGTTTGATTGTGTGTACCTAACTTGATGTTACTCTCTACTGTCTTGCTTTTTCTTATCCTGTGGTTTGGTGCTGCCTGCCTTTTCATGGTTAAGTTGGGTGTCACTTTCTGTGTGCAGGATCCCTTGCAGAATCTTTTGTAATGGTGGCTTTGTGGTCACATATTGTTTTAGTTTCTGCTTATCATGGAAGACTTTTATTGCTCCATCTATTTTGAATGATAGCTTTGCTGGGTAGAGTATCCTGGGGTTGAAGTTATTTTCATTCAGTGCCAGAAGATCTCACCCCACGCTCTTCTTGCTTTTAATGTTTCTGTTGAGAAGTCTGCTGTGATTTTGATGGGTTTACCTTTGTATGTTACTTGTTTTTTCTCTCTTACAGCCTTCAATATTCTTTCCTTAGTTTCTGAACTTGTTGTTTTAATGATGATATGTCGTGGAGTAGTTCTATTTTGATCTGGTCTGTTTGGTGTCCTGGAGGCCTCTTGCATTTGTATGGGAATATCTTTCTCTAGATTTGGGAAATTTTCCGTTATTATTTTGTTGAATATATTACGCATTCCCTTCGCTTGCACCTCTTCTCCTTCTTCGATGCCCATGATTCTCAAGTTTGGTCTTTTGATGGAGTCGTGAGTTCTTGCATTTTCTTTTCACAGGTCTTGAGTTGTTTAATTAATAGTTCTTCAGTTTTTCCTTTAATTACCATTTCATCTTCAAGTTCTGAGATTCTGTCTTCTGTTTGTTCTATTCTGCTGGATTGGCCTTCCGTTTTGTTTTGCAGTTCTGTTTCGTTCTTTTTTCTGAGGTTTTCCATATCCTGGCTGTTTTCTTCTTTATTGTTGTCTATTTTTGTCCTGAGTTCATTTATCCATTTATTCATTGTGTTCTCTCTTTCACTTTGGTGTTTATACAGTGCTTCTATGGTTTCCTTTATTTCTTCTTTTGCTTTTTCAAATTCTCTATTTTTATTGTCTTGGAATTTCTTGAGTGTCTCCTGTACATTTTGGTTGACCCTATCCAGTATCATCTCTATAAAATTCTCATTGAGTACTTGTAGTATGTCTTCTTTTAAATTATTCTTGTGGCTTCATTGGGTCCTTTGGCATAGTTTATCTTCATTTTGTTGGAGTCTGGATCTGAGTTTCTGTTCTCTTCATTCCCCTCTGGTTCCTGTACTAATTTTTTGCTGTGGGGAAACTGGTTTCCTGTTTTTTCTGTCTTCCTGTCATTGTCCTTGGTGTTGTTACTGTCCCTGTACTGTGTGTAATTAAGTATTTTCTAGCTTGTAATAATAACAATGGTAATATTGAGAATGGAAGAGTGAGCTGAGATGGAAAGCAAGAAGTTAAAGAAAAGGGGAAAACAAATATACAGACAAGAGGGAGAAAGCAGAACAAGGTATCAGACAAGAGAGTTTCAAAGGTATAAACAGGGAGTGTTAGTGTACTAATCGACAGTAAGCTGAACAGACAAGAGAGACAGAGAGAGGATTGAAAATCAAAGATAAAAAAATAAAAAATAAGTATATGAAAGTATATCTATTATAAAAATGAATTAAAATAAAATGGAAAATAGAAAATTAAAAAAAAAAAAAAAAAAAACTTCCAAGTTTATATGCAATGCAATTTCAGTCTTAATAATTTGGATGTCCGTCTCAATCTCCAGTCCTGGAGTTGGTGCCTCAGATGTTGTTCTGTAGTTGTCTCATCAAAGGGGATGCATAAAGTAGAACAAAACTACACTCACACACACACAGAAAAAAAAAAAAAAAGCCCCACCAAGTGTCCCAGTTCAAATGCAATACAGTTTCAGTAAGTTTTTCGGCTTGCAGGTGTAATTCGGTTGTTCTCTCATCAAAGGTAGGGAGAAAAAGAAAAAAAAAGCGTCTGGAGGCAGTTCTGAGAGTGGTATCTGCAACTGTGGCTTGCCTGCCTGCTGCTCTCAGCCTGTAGCTGGCGGCGTTATTTATGCAGATCTCTGGGGTGAGCTAGCACTCACCTGGTCCCACAGGCTTTGTTTGCTCAGAGTTCTCCTGTGCGGAGGCCTCTGCCACAGGCTTTCCCCTTTCCAAGCACTGGGAAAGGTGACACTGCCCCGCGTTGTCAGGCCTGCGTGTTTATTTACAGTTCACGTGGGAAGTGGGTCTTCCCTCCTCTCACAAGCGTCCCGCTCCTGGTTGCTGGGCGCGCCCCGCTCCGCCAGAGCTCTCCGGCCGCCCGCTCGTTTATTTACAGTCCCGGGAAGGATCCCTTCCCCGAATCTTCAGCGCTCAGGGCGCCCCACCTCTTTCCAGCGTGTCTTAACTGTTCTTATTGCTTAGTACTCAGTTTCTCTTTTTTCCGGGTGGAGGTCAGTCTGTCCAGGGGGCTATGCTGCTCTGGCCCAGGCTTGTCTGTGGGGTACCGCGGTACCGTGAAGCTCACCTGGTCCGCGTCTTCCCAAGCCGTATGGGCGCCGGCCACTGGTGGCCCCGGGGGCCTCCTCGGTTCTCCATTTAACGTGAAGTGGAGATTCTCTGCACCGGCTGGAGGTGTGGAGGGGTCAAAGTTATGCCTTTTCTCGGTGATTATGCCTGCAAAGTGTGTCTCCAGCGTCTCTCCAAGATTTCACTATAGGAGGCTCGCTTTCTGCTTCCTACCTCTAGCCGCCATCTTGGAATTCTCTAATGATCAGTTTCTTAAAAGGTTTCCCTCTCAGGACTGGAAGTAAGTACTGTTTGCAATAGGGAAGCCAAGGTTTTCCGCTTCTTGGATAATGGTGCGCCAGCCTGTCAACCATCCAATCATCTGAGTTTCTGCTCTGAGCATCTCATCTTGCTTTCCCACCCTACTGCATTTTTAGATTGTCATTCTCCTGTTGCATTTGTTGTAGTTTGCCAATCTTCTGTTTTCTCTATGCTGCCACAGTAACTTTCTTTTTCTGTTCCTTACAGAAATTTTATTATATGTACATAGAAAAAATATATAAGTATAAAAATATATAAGTATATATATAAGTATATGGTTAAAAGTTTTTCTATGTACATGCAAAACATGCATACTTAAAATATTTATAGCTTACCTTTTTGTAGTTAGTATAACATAGTACTTGTTTCCCTATCAATAAGTGTAGGTCTCTCTCTCTCTCTTTTTTTGTGGTGCTGTGAATGGAACCCAGGGCCTCATACATGCTAGGCAAGCACTCTTATCACTGAGCTGATAAGAGTCAGCCCTCTTTTTTGCTGGTTTTATGATACTCAAATATGGCTATGCCATAATACTCAAATATGGCTATGCCATAATTTAACCAGGCGTCCTTGTTGATGGACATTTTTATTAGTTTGTTTTGATTACAAATAATATGGGAATAAATATAATTGTCATATTACCTTTTTAAATCATAAGTTTAACTGAACTATTCTCTTATAAACACTCCATTGCCTATGTATAAAATCCATATTCTTGTAGGGCACAAAATATCACCTGTGGTTGGGTCTTTCTCTACCTGTCCAGGCTCCTCTTGTGCATTTGAACTGTATTCTATGTTCCATGCCCTGCCTGCGCCTTGCATGCAGATCATGACTGAGCTGTTCTTTCTGCCCGGAATATCCTTTCCTTTTGTAGTCCCCTGGAAAATTCTCACCCATCCTGCATGAGTGGCCTGTGCATGACCTATACATGCTGAATTGTCCTGTACCTCAGAACCCTGCTTTTAGAAAATAAGCAGGTTCGAAAATGCAGAATGTGGAATGCAGATTCCACATTGGTAGTTAGAAAATGCAGAATCTTGTTCCTTACTTCAGACTTACACAGCCTGATAATACTATAACAGGACCTCCAGGAGATTCTTGTACACATTCAAGGTTGGAAAGCACTACTTAGTACACCATTTCTCCTAACATGTCAGTTTTATTGGATTAACCCCACTATTGAAATTACTTCTTCACATCTCTTTTCCATCCAAACTGAGCTTAAGGGAAGATATCATGTCTTTATATCTTTGTAACCTTAGCATAGTTCCTGGTTCAGAATAAATGTCTAATCAGTGTTGATTGAGTTGAAATTCCTCTACAAAATTCTCTGTATCATAATGATGCCTAATATTTGTGTATGTTTTCTCATGTGCCATAAAAAAAATCTTTTAATAAATGCTGTATCTAAAGACATTACCTAGATAACATTCTTACCAAGTCAGTAATTCTCAGCTTCAATCAGAATCACTGGGAAGGACTTTTACAAAATACAGATGCCCAGCTATATTGTGAATACAGCTTCGAATCAGAGTTTCATTTTTACTTTTTGTTTTATTTGAAGACAGGGTTTTACTGTTTAGCCTAGGCTGGCCTCCAACTTGTGAGTCTGCTGCTTCAGCCTCCCTAGTGCTGGGATGATAGGCACAGGCCACCATTCCCAGCATCATTTGCTTCTGAAGGAAAATATTTAGTAGGTGAGACAAATGCTCTCTGACTGGACCCTCTCTAGATGCTTGTTGGGGACCAGTGTGGTAGGGGAGCCCCTCTCTTCATGTATGTGTGCTTCACATACAACATTGTATATGTGGGTTTGATTAGCATAGGATGAAGAAATCAGACTTTTCTTTCAAGCTTTTAAGGGACAGTGTTCAGTTCTGTTAGAACAAACATGGTTGTGATCTAATAGATATGTCTGGAAATTTCATGTGAGAGCTGATGTTTTCTTTTGGTGTTGTTTTTTGTTTTGGTATGATTAGGTACTTACAATTTCATCAGAAATTCCCAAAAGAATTCAAAGTGCCTTAAAAAATGCAGAAGAATCAAAGCAACTTCTTAATCAATTTTTGGAGCAACAAACTCATCTCTCCAGCTGCATTAACAACCATTTACTGTCTGCACAGCCCTGGATGGACGATCTTGGGGCCATGATTAACCAAATTGAAGAGACTGAACGGCATCTTGCTTACCTTAAATGGATTTCACAAATTGAAGAACTAAGGTAAAGTGGCCCTTTTTGTTCTCATAATTATTGTTTTCCTTTGAGGCTGTGTCTTTGAGAGTGCATGTATGCCATTCAATAATTGAGTTAATTAAAGATTATAATAATGTAATTTTGTCAGTTGTTATGAAAATAGCATTATGATAATGATTCTTTTCCTTTATTGTGAATGAACATAAACTTTTCAGGGAGGTTAATTTGCATTTGAAAAAGTAATCTAAGTTAAAATTTTAAGTCTTATAGTTGTGTTATGAACACATGGTAAAAAGTATTATTTGTAATGCCAAATTAATAAAACAAACCCTCAGTGAGATAATAAATATTCATACCAAATTTCATTTTATTTATTTATTTTTTGGCAGTACTGAGATTTGTACTCAGGGCCTGGCACTTGCTAAGTAGGTGCTCTACCACTTGAGCCACACCTCCAGTCCCCTACTTAATTTTTAGAGATTGTCACTTAATGAAGTGTATTGTTTTCTCTAGAATTTGAATTATTTTCAGTGGGAATCACCTGATAAGTACTGCACAGCATTCTTAGATAAATGACAGAATTCTGCTACTTGTGGGTAGGGAAAAAAGAAGTAAAGTTCTTTTTTAATTGAGTATGTACCACTCACTGGTAGTTGATTGTAAGCATCTGGTATTGCCTTTCAAACAAGCCAGAGTAACATTTCTACCTAAATGGGCAGATTATGTGGTTTCATGGTATGGTCCCCTGGCCCCTCCAAATTGTACTCTCTTATCCTTGCTTTGTTTTAACCACTCTTGCTGCAAAGATGTTGTCCAGAAAGTTTTCTACAGAAAATCACCCAAGAACCTTAATATCTTGTTTAAATGTATCATGGTTAATATACTTAATGTTATCTATTATGGATATGTTATATATTCCTTATTTCCTAAGATTGTAAAGAATTTTGCATATCAGGGCTGGGTGCAGTGGCTCAGACAAGCAATTCTAGTTACTTAGGAGGCAGAGAATCAGAAGGATCGTGGTTTGAAGCCAACTCAGGCAAAAACCTTTGTAAGACTCCATCTTAACCAATGGCTGGGCACAGTGATATATGCTTGTCATCCCAGCTACATGGGGAAGCACACATAGGATGATTTCGGTCCAGGCCAGCCTGGACATAAAGCCAGACTGTATCTCAAAATAACCAATGCAAAAAGAGCTGACAGAGTAGCTCAAGTGGTGAAGTGGTAAAGCATCTGCCTAGTAAGCACAATGCCCTGAGTTCAATCCCCATGCTGCCCAAAAAAAAAAAAAAAAAAAAAAAAAATATACTTAGGAACGGCAGAGAATCAGAAGGATCGTGGTTTGAGAGCCACTCAGGCAAAACCTTTGTAAGACTCCATCTTAACCAATGGCTGGGCCAACAGTGGATATATGCTTGTTCATCCAGCTACATGGGGAAGCACACATAGGATGATTTCGGTCCAGGCGCAGCCTGGACATAAAGCCAGACTGTATCTCCAAATACATTGTGTGCAAAAGAGCTGACAGAGGCTACTCAAGTGGGTGAGTGGTAAAGCTCTTGCCTAGTAAAGCACAATGCCCCTAGTTTAATCCCCATGCTGCCAAAAAAAAAAAAAAAAAAAAAAATATATATATATATATATATATATATATATATATATATGACATATTTGTATACATATTTGCTTCACATATGTGAGTTTTACATCTAAAGTAATATGCCCAAGATTGTGGTGTTACTAGTGATTCCAAGACTTGATTTAAGCTTTTTAGAGTATGTCATTCTTTTTCTTTTTGGTGGGATTGGGGTTTGAACTTGGGTTTCATGCTTGCCAAGTAGGCACTCTACTGCTAGAGCCATGCCTTCAGTCCATTTTGCTCTTATTTTGAAGAGCCTGTTTCCTAGGCTGACCTTGAGCCATTGGTGCCTACAGTGTGACTTTTGTTTAGATAAATTATTTGTAGCAAAGTATTTTAAATCTTGCTTTATTTTACTTAATTTCTCCTTTTCCCTCTGAAAGCAAAAACCAGTAAGGGGTAATATTAATAAACTTATTAAACAAAATAATTTGTTTTAAAAGTCTCTTCTCAAGTTGTAGAGTGCCTGCCTACCAAGCACAAGGGTCTGAGTTCAAACCCTAGAACTACTTAAAAAAAAAAAAGAAAAAAAGCCTCTCATAGTAACCAAATTAATAGACTAACTAAAATAGGACTGTGGCTATTGATAACCTTGTCTGGCACCTGAATTGTTTGAAGGAAAAATATGCCAAGGAACCATATTAGAAATAAGACTCAAATTTATAAAGAAATAGAACAGCTATTTCTCTCTCTTTAATAATGTGTTCTTTCCCTTAGGTCTTTCGTGACAACATCTCTATTTCTAGCTTTCTTTTGAGCTTCTGGGATTTTTTTCTCATTTCCAAGTTTCCCTTTAATGACCTGTTTTTATTCTACAGTACTTTCTCTTGCTCTCAAAGTAGTTTCTTCTTGCTAGAACCAGTATCTTTGTAGTAGCTATTTCATGAGTAATACCATACAACAGTATCACTCTGAATGAATGCTATCACTTTGGCTTTTCCTATGGTATAAATGGCCTTTGTGCTTCAGTGTTGAGTGGGGATATATATCACAGTAGAACGTAGTACTCCTATTTTCGTGGTTACTTGTACCCTTAAAATCTTAAGCACGATAGTCTTATTGTACTATAATGCAATGCTTAGTTTCAGATGTATTTCTTTGAAGTGGAAATCAAGTTCTGGGTAAAGTAGGTAAAAACTGAAGATAATTATACTTGCTTATACCTCATACCAGATGCTATCACATTATTCCCTGAGATTAAGACACTAAACTGTGTGCTTCATCTCTAGTACCACCAAAAAAAAAAAAGACACTGACAACTTCTGTAAAGAAGTCCCCACAGAAATGAGTGAGCAGCACCTGAAGGATATGACATAGGAAGGACAAATCTGTTCTGGCAGGAGGAGTAGGAAGGAGCAGGTGAGGGAAGGCATCCTGAACATGGGCCACTGCTCTTTGAAGGACGCTAAGAATTAGAGGACGCCAGGCTCCCAGGATGGTACTTTATTCTTCCTTAGATGTAATTTTATATAAAACATGAGGGAATTTAACTATGATATATTGTAAGAGCTTTTGTGAATGTCACAATGTACCCCCAGTACAACAATTAAAAACAAACAAAAAAAACTATGAGGGAGAAGTAGTATTTCTGAATTTAAAATTTGCTTTGCTTTGTTTTGCAGTGATAACATTCAGCAATATCTGATGACTAATAATGTGCCAGAGGCAGCCTCTACCCTGGTGACTATGACAGAACTTGACATCAAGCTTCAAGAATCATCTTGTACTCATCTTCTTGGTTTCATGAGAGCCACAGTTAAATTCTGGCATAAAATTCTCAAGGACAAGCTTACAAGGTAGGTGCTTTCATATGGCTATTTGATGGTCATTTTTTTTATGACATTGTACTGAAATATGTGTGTTTCTTTTCTGTTACAGTGATTTTGAGGAAATCTTAGCACAGCTTCATTGGCCATTCATTGCAACCCCCCAATCGCAAACTGTTGGCTTGAGCCGACCTACCAGTGCCCCTGAGATGTACAGTACTCTGGAAATACTGTTTTGTCAGCTGCTGAAACTACAAACCTCGTATCTTTGTTGGAGGGGAAAACTTAACTAAAATTTCTTATTCTCATGGTAGATTGTGGCTAGAGAGTAGAACATTTTGAAAGTGGCCAAATGAGAGTCCTAGGTTGGCCTAGTGTGTAAATAAATGCCCATGGAGTTCTCTTGCAAAGTAAATTGTGTGTGTGTGGGAGGGCTGCAAGGAAGAGTCTGAGATAGGCATCTGACCCAAGTTTTCATCACATATACATCTCTTGAGAAAACAGAACAAGTAGACAATAGGGAAGAAACCTTTGTAACAAAGTATTAATTTGATCAAATTAATGTAGTGAATGTATTTCCTTACTACTATTTGTTATTTTCAGAAACATTTACAGATGAATTTATGCAGTTTTTACTGAATTTATAGTTAATGTAAAGTTAGATTACATATTGTTTGTGTTAATAATTTTTGCTCAGTATTGATACATTTTTTGGAAAAAATGTATTGTGTGCATATCCACATGTGTTTGTCTACATGTGCTTTTGATTCTTTTTCCTTGACTTGACTATGTCAGAGATGAATTACTTACTGAGCCAAAACAGCTCCCAGAAAAATACTCTCTTCCTGCATCCCCTTCTGTCATCCTGCCCATCCAAATTATGCTGAGTCCCCTTCAGAAAAGGTTCAGGTATCACTTCAGAGGCAACCGGCAGACTAATGTGTTAAGCAAGGTGTGCTTTTCCAACTCTTGTCCTTGGTTTTTGTTTTTGTGACAGGGTCTTGCTGTATAGCTCAGGCTGGCCTTAAACTTGGAATTGCCCTGCCTCTGCCTCTCAAGTGGTGGGATTTATAGGCAAATGCCACCATGTTCAGCTTGTCCTTGGTTTTTATTAATAGCAAATGTCAAAGGTTTCTATACTTGTTTAAATTAAAATCTGCCTCTAGTGGACCTAGTACTTTGCTATCAACCCTAAGTTGTGCAGCCCTTGAGGTTAGGGCCTGCCCTTATTTATTTTTGTATTTTCAGCATCTAGCACACAATGGGGATTTGCCATGCAGTAAATGTTTTTGAATCCTTGTCCAGAAAACTTGGAATGCTTGCAGAATCATCTTTAAGGACAATTTAAAATGCTGCATGCCTATATTTCCTTTCTATAATTATACCTGTTTTAAGGCATGGATTATTTTATAATGCAGACAAGCCAAATTTTTTTTCCTAATTTATCTTTAGAAAAGAAAAGGCAGAAGAAAATAATGTTTAAAATTTTTTTTGAAATGCTATTTGAAAAACAATTTAAGGACTGGAGGTATGGCTCAAGTGGTAAAGTGACTGCTTTGCAAGCATGAAGCCTTGAGTTCAAACCCCAGTCCCACCAAAGACAAACAAACAACCCCACAACAACAATGAAAAAACAATTTAAAAGTCATCTGTTTTTTTGTAATACTCATCATTTGATCATTTTACATTTTAATAAAGTGCTAGGTTTTAAATATGTAAGAGAGAGAGAGTGTGTGTGTGTGTGTGTGTGTGACTAAAGTGCTGGGAGGTTGAAGCCAAGACCTCAAACATGCTAGGCAAGTGTACTTACTACATTCCAAGCACCAATATGCATTTTAAATTTATGTGTTTATTGACTAAGCCATATTATGGGAAACATTTGATTATTAAGTCTTTCATGAGTGTAAAGTTCAGAGTAGAAATTGTGCTCTTATGTATAGGAATTTTCAACTAATTTTTTATATATTATGTGTTTATAATTAAAGATGTTTAATTGTAACCTTTGAGTTGGAAAAACCAAAGAATTCAAACCTCTTACTTCGCTCTTTAGCCTGAATGGTACTTGGCTCAGATACTTATGTGGATTGGAAACCATACGCAATTTTTGGATGAGAAGATTCAGCCAATATTAGACAAAGTGTGCTCCGCAGTAAATGCCAGGGTGAGAGACTCAGTCCTAAGTGTTTCAGTTTCAGAGTTGTACTTGTACCTGAAAAACTCATTATTTACACACCTCATGTTTGTGTATTTCTTTTAGCTTGAATTTTCTCGGGGCCTTATGATGCTTGTTCTTGAGAAGTTAGCTTCCGATATTCCTTGTCTACTCTATGATGACAATCTATTCTGTCATTTGGTGGATGAGGTGCTGTTGTTTGAAAGGGAGCTACACAGTGTTCATGGCTACCCTGGCACTTTTGCTAGCTGTATGCATATTCTGTCAGAGGAAACCTGTTTCCAGAGATGGTTGACTGTGGAGAGAAAATGTAAGTGTTCATTTGGCCATAGAGTAGGGAGAGATTTCTGTTTTTTGTGAATATAAATTTTTGGTGTTTTACTCCTCCAGTTGTGGGTAAGATCTATAGCCATTTACATTTTTCCTGGTCAGGGTTTACTGAGTTGTCTTCAGAGATAATCTTATTTTCTTTTCTTCCCATGAAACTTCAGTTTTTCCTGGAATTACACTCTACATGTTTCTAGGGTAGCATATTGAACAGCTATATAGAGTATATAGCTGTTTTGATAGATTTTACCCTGTAGTGTTTCTGCTCTTGGTATAATTTCTTTGGATATAGTGTATCTATCATCATAACTATTTAACCCTAAAATAGAACATTTTAAATATAGTACAACTAGTGGGTTTATTTTTTATAGAAAAGTCATCATTCCTAAAAAAAATCATTGTGAGTTGAAAAATTAGGAATGACAATAACCACTCAATTGATATAATCCTTTTTTCTTCGTATCAGTTGCTCTTCAAAAAATGGACTCAATGCTTTCATCAGAAGCTGCCTGGGTATCCCAATATGAGGATATCACTGATGTGGATGAAATGAAAGTTCCAGACTGTGCAGAAACTTTTATGACTCTACTCTTGGTTATAACTGGTAAGTATAAATCTTTTAAGATGTGACTTTTTAAAACAGTAGTGAGTTTTCACATGGTATTTTTTCTAGTCATTCAAAAAAATTAATGTTATACAGTGCTTATAATAACTGTATAATATCTTCTAATTCAGTTTCTGTTTTAAACACTGTTTGGTACAGTCCACAGCCATACAACCCTGAGCATACCTGATCTTGTCTGATCTCCAACGCTGAGCAGGGTTGGGCCTGGTTAGTACTTATATGGGAGACCTCCTGGGAATATTGGGTGCTGTAGGCTTAAAAAAAAAAGTAAACACAATCTAGTCCAGTATTCTAATTTTTAGATTTTTAATAATTTAAGCTAGAACTTACACAATGGTACCCATGAGGGAAAATTTTTTGAATTTTTACATAAAAACAAATAAGAGTTTAATTTTATTACTGGAACTTTTTTGCCATTTGGCTTTTTAATTGTCTTTAGTAAGTAGTGATTTACCTAAATTTCATTTCATTTATTTATTTTTTAAGAGATGGGATCTTACTATGTTGCCCAAGCTGGCCTTCAACTCCTCGTTCAAATTATCCTACTGCCTCAGTCTCCCAACTAGCTGGTATTACAGGCGTAAGTCACTGTGCCTGGCTAGCCCCTGGGGTATTTTAAAGAACATTTTAGATACTTTATCCTGTCACTTGCAGATTCTTAAATACATATCTTATTTAATTTGAGTTTTTCCTTCTTTTTTAAAAAATGCCATTTACTTATTAAAGATACTGAGTTAATTTTAAATATAATTTTCTCATGTGCCCTTTAATAAAGGTATGATTGAGATATATGTATAATTATATATATATTTATATATATTTATATATATATATATAACATAATTATATATATATTTATATATATATAATATATATAAATAAATAATAATTGAAGTATGATTTACCTATGGTGAAATGCACAGATCTTAAGTCTTATCAAATATGTACATATGAGTTCTGTGTCCTTATGATTAGATCCATACTTGAATGGTCAACAGATTTTAACAAAAGCAGCAAAGTAGACCAGTAGGAAAAAAATTAAATATGTCATGGATGGCACCAAAAATCTTCATATGTCTTATTAACTTTCTTCATAGACAGGTATAAGAATCTCCCAATAGCTTCCCGAAAACTACAGTTCCTGGAGTTACAAAAAGACTTAGTAGATGATTTTAGAATACGATTAACACAGGTGATGAAAGAAGAGACTAGAGCATCCCTTGGCTTTCGATACTGTGCAATTCTTAATGCTGTGAACTACATCTCAACAGTACTAGCAGACTGGGCTGACAATGTTGTAAGTTAATATGCAAGTTAATATGCTTTTGGATTGAGTAATGTGTTAATAATTTGAACTTTTGAAATGTTGAAAGTATTACAAGCAAAAAAAAAAAATGTTAGAATCACTTAGGAGTTATGATTAAAGCACATATTTTTTTCAATGAAATCTTAAATGGTTAAATAATCCTGATATTTTTCTGAACTTAATCATAAAAGGATTGGGGATATAGCTCAGTGGTAGAGTTCTTACCTAGCATGAACAAGACCCTGTAAACAGATTTTTCAATATGTTTTCCAATCAAAAGTAAAGAAATGTGCTAGGTGCCAGGTGGCCCATGCCCGTAATCCTAGCTACTCGGGAGACAGAGATCAGGAGGATCACAGTGTAAAGCCCACCCAGGCAAATAGTTCACGAGACCCTATCTCAAAAAAACCCATCACAAAAAAGGGATGATAGAGTGGTTAAAGATGTAGGCCCTGAGTTCAAACCCCATTACTGAAAAAAAAAGTAAAGAAACCTACTCAGTGTTTAGAACCTTAACATAGAAAAACATTCTAATTCCTTTGGATATTTTAGAAGCAGTATTAAAATAATCTTAGAGGACCTCCTATACCTCTTTGGGTAGGATGTCCTTGAATTTGGAATCACTGTTCTAAGATCATCTGGGAAGATACAAAAAAAAAACTGCTGGGTTTATACCTTTGTGTTTCATAAGATAGATTTCACGACAGAAAACACTAAACTGGACTAGGATGACTATACAGTGGTGAAATACATATTAAACAGTGAAAACACTATGCTGAATAAGTAGGATAATGAATATGAAGATATAAATGTAAATTATATAGTTGTTTCATAAAATGAGAATAGACAGGAAAGTAAAACAATAACAACTACTATTTTAACTAAGGCTTAAAATACTGCTCTTAAAAATGTGGTAGGTAAAGTTGGAATTAAAATATTATAAAGTTTGAGCTGAGTATAATGGAATATACCTATAATCCCAGCACTCGGAAGACTGATGCAGGAGGATCATGAATTTGAGGCCAGCCTGGGCTACCTAGGTGAGACCTTGTCCAAAATAACCTGAGCAAAATGGACTGGAGGATTGGCTCAAGGAGTAGAGCACCTGCTTTGCAAACTTGAAGCTCTGAGTTCAAATCCCAGTGCCACCAAAAAAAAAAACAGTTATAAAGTTAGAGCTGAGAATTTAGCTCGGTGTAGAGCCCTTGCCTAACATGCATAAGTCCCTGATTCCCAGAACAAAATAAAGTGTTATATAATTGGAAAGACTGAACTGCTAAGAAATGATAAGAAATTCACAATATACTGAGGGAAAATACAATTTGCAAGTGTGTCCAGATAAGTCACAAGGACAAAGTAAATTAATTTACTTTAAGTAAAGAATTTCTTTACTTTATCAATTTTTTTTTTCTTTTGTGGTACTGGGGTTGGAACCCCACTTGCTAAGAAGATACTTTACCACTTGAGCCACTCTGCCAGCCCCTTTTTTGTGTTGGGTATTTTCAAGATAGAGTCTCGAGCAACTATTTGCTTGGGCAAGCTTTTTTTTTTTTTTTTTTCACTACACAGTAATTGTATATATTCATGGGATACTGTATAGTATTTCAACACATGTACAATGTATAGTGATCAGATCTGAGCATTTAGCACATCTTTTTTATTTATTTATTTATTTATTCATTTTTCTTTTATTATTCATATGTGCATACAAGGCTTGGGTCATTTCTCCCCCTTGGGCAAGCTTTGAACTGTGATCCTGATCTCACCCTTCTGAGTAACTAGGATTACAAGCGAGAGCCATCAGTGCCCAGCACTTTATCATATCTTAATGCAATAAAATAAAAAATAAAAGCAGAAATGAAATACATTCAAACATGGACATTTAAAGAATCCATGCCTTATAAGGAAATAAGTCTAGAAATAAGACAATGTATTTTAAATTATGAATCTAAGACAAAAAATGATAGTGTACTGTTAATACATGATATATTTCTCTACTGCACAAAAAGTTATACTACCTAAGCATTTTGAAGAAGAAAATGTATTCTTCACTACACCAATTTACTGTGAAAGAAACAGCAAGACATAAAAGTCTTGATCTTAAAAACATGGGAATAAGCCAAAATAAACAGAAACAAATAAATGTTCTAATAACAGATATAAATAAGATAAAAACCTGCTGAAACATATCATAGTTTATTCTTATCTAGACTCTGTGTCTGGGACTTAGTATTTATTTCAAGTGTTTTTCTATAAAAATGTCAACTGAAATCTGTGTGCATATGTCATTCTGCTGAGCAAGGAAAATAAAATAATTCATAAAATGGATATAATAGAGTGTAATTATCAGTGCATTTATTTTATAAAGTCCATTAATCAGCATACATTCATTCATTTTGTACTTTTGTGTTAATGCTTCTAATTTCAGTAAGTACTTTATTCTTTCCGCCCCCACCACTGCTCATTTGCTGCTGAGCTTTTTCAATAGTATAAAGCAAATTGTCATTCTTGATTCTTATGCCAGATGATCTAATAAAAGACACATTTAGGAACAGATTTTTAGCTTCAATGAAATTGTAGATCATTAACTACTTGGTGCTGTAGTCTGTTAACAAAAATGAATTAACCATCATCTCTGTCTGTAGAAAACGTTAAATCTGATGCTGAATTAACTGGGTCCTCTTGTCAACAGAAAAATTAGAAAATTTCAGCATTGACTCTTCAAATTGTAATGAGTTCTATGCCCTAGCATGGTTTTTATGTTGTTAATTCTGTCTTAAATCAAGTCCTTGAATCATCTTCACAATCCTCCAGCCTGTGAATGTTTTGAGTAAAAAATCACTAAAGTTCTTGTATTACATAATTACATAACTAGAAAAAGAAAAAAACAGTGGACAGAGTTCACCTTCCATTCATTTTCGATTCTCTGCTAATAACTGTTTATTGTCAGATTATGCCAAGCCTGAAATATCCAGCCATTCAGAATTAGGATTTTTCAGTTGTAAGTGACAGAAACCCAATTCAAACTGGCCTAAGTTGCAGGAGTGGGGAGTGTGGGGGGATAAGGAATTTGTGTAACTGGACAGATTAGGCATGGCTGTTGTAGAGTTCATTTCTGATTTCATTTTGAGACAAGCTCTGGACATGTGGCAGTAGGTAGTTCCAGCTTACATGTCCATCCATAATCTCAAAAGGACAGTGCTTTTTCCCTGATAGCTTCAGTAGAAATACCAAGGTGGTCTCTCACTGGGCCATACCTGGCAAGTCATTAGTGTGACCCAGGCATAATATTACCAAGATATTTGTACATCCCTAGCACCAAAGGGAACAGGTACAAAATCTGAGTCCATTTGTCTCCGAGTGAGGGAAGGAAGTGATTCTCCAAAGGAAATTTGGAGTACTGGTACTCAAAAGAGGAAAAGAGCCTAAAGGCAGCTATTGCCCATGACACATTCCCATGTAAAAAGACATGGAGAGAGTGAGATTGAGTGAGTAGTGCTCTAGGTTCATGTTGGGGAGTTTTAGTATTAAAGATTGACCACCAGATTTATGTATTTTGTTCACTATCCATGAAGTCTTTGAGAGAATTCTAAATAGCTTTTGGTTTTTATTAATTTTCCATGGGTTTTTTTTTTTTTTTTTTTTTTTTGTGGTACTGGGGCTTGAACTCGGGGCCTTCACCTTGAGCCACTCCACCAGCCCTATTTTTGTGAAGGGTTTTTCGAGATAGGGTCTCGTGAACTATTTGCCTGGGCTGGCTTTGAACCGCAATCCTCCTGATCTCTGCCTCCTGAGTAGCTAGGATTACAGGCGTGAGCCACTGGTGTGTGGCTTCCATGAGTTTTATTCCAAGAACTTTAAAACAACAGCAATCAAAAATTTTCAAGGAAACATTTTAAGGTAGTTAAATGTTTTGATGCCTAATTTAACATGGCTTTTTGTGATGTGCTAATTCCTTAATACCATCTAGAGTTGTTTTTTGGTTTTTTTTTTTTTTTTTTTTTTGGTGGTACTGGAATTTGAACTCATAAGCCTTGAGCTTATAAGATAGGCACTCTAACACTTTAGCCACACCTCCAACCCTTTTCTGCATTAGTTATTTTTAGGTACGGTCTCATGTTTTTTGCCTACGCTGGCCTGGATGGTGATCCTCCTACCTTTGGTCTCCAGCATAGCTGGAATGACAGGTGTACACCACAATGCCCAGCTAATTCTAGATAACTTTTTGCCTGGGCTGGCCTGGAGCTGTGATCCTCCCAATCTCCATCTCCCAGGTAGCTGGGATTACAAGTGTGAGCTACTTCATCCAGTCTAGGTAAGAGCTTTAGTAAAAATAATAATGATAATAACCTTGATAAAAGGATTTATTTAAGTGCTCTTTATGTTTTTGGAGAAATAAAAATTTCAGCTCTTCGTGGCTAATCTTATTCTTAAATGCTTATTAAGAGGACCATTTTTTTTGTTAAGTGTATGATTACTGTAGATAGGAGTGGAAGAGAAAGTACTTTTAACTGTAAATACATGTAATATGATACAGAATTCAAAAGCCACAAAATGGTAGATAGTGAAAGTAGGTCTTAATTCTAACCCTTCCCAATCCTATGCATACTCCTCTGCTTTAAATTTTTCAGTTAACAATGTCTTGAGATTGTTCCATTACAGAACATAAAGAGTTGTCTAATTCTTTTTAACAATAAGCTACAAAATATTCCATTGAGAGATGATAAAATTAACTAGTCTCCTATTAGGGACATTTAACGTGTTTCTGATCTTTTTCTGAAAGTCCATAGCATTTTTTTTTAACAATTTTTACATTTACTCATATGTGTATACATTGTTTGGGCCACCTCCCTCCCTCCCCCCACCCCCACCCTCTTGTTCTCCGATTTTGTCGAAGAGAAAACATACGAGATAATAAGAAAGACAGTGTTTTTTGCTAGTTTGAGATAAAGATAGCTATACGGAGAGATTCCTAGCATTGCTTCCATGCATTTGTGTATTGCAACCCACATTGGTTCATCTCTACCAGACCTCTTCACTACTTCCTAGTCCCCATTAGTGGCCTCTGTCAGTTTAAGATTACTATATTTGCTCCTCTACAGTGAGCGCATCAACCACATTCAAGTATTGGGTTTCCTTCTATTTCCCTATTCCTCCCATGTGCATTTTCCCCCTTAGTGTGTGACCCATGTCCAACAGTATTACTGCATTTGTTTTAGGTCTATAATCCTCATATGAGGGAGAACATATAATTTTTGGCCTTCTGAGCCTGACTAACTTTGCTTAAGATGATGTTCTCCAGTTCCATCCATTTACTTGTGAATGACAAAATTTCATTATTATTTTGGTTGACTACAATTCCGTTGTGTATAAATACCACATTTTCTTAATCTATTTGTCGGTAGTGGGGCATCTTGGCTGTTTCCATAGCTTGGCTATTGTGAATAATGCTGCAATAAACATGGGTGTGTAGGTGCCTTTGGAATAACCTGAGTTGCATTCCTTCGGGTATATCCCTAGGAGTGGTATTTCTGGATCATATGGCAGATCTAAGTTTAGTTTTTTAAGAAGCCTCCATATTGTTTTCCAAAGTGGTTGTACTAGCTTACATTCCCACCAGCAGTGTATGAGGGTTCCTTTTTCCCTGCATCCTCACCAATGTTTGTTAGTGGTGGTGTTCTTGATGGTAGCTATTCTAACAGGAGTGAGGTGGAATCTTAGTGTGGTTTTTGATTTGCATTTCCTTTATGGCCAGGGATGGTGAGCATTTTTCATGTGTTTTTTGGCCATTTGGCCTTCTTCCTTTGAAAAAGTTCCATTTAGTTCAGTTGCCCACTTCTTTATTGGTTCATTGATAGCTAGCAAAGATTTTCTCCCACTCTGTGGATGGTCTCTTCAATTTAGAGACCATTTCTTTTGTTGTGCAGAAGCTTTTTAATTTCATGTAGTCCCATTTGTCTGTCCTTTCTCTTAGTTGCTGGGCTGCTTGAGTTCTACTGAGGAAGTCCTTACTTATACCTATTACTTCCAGAGTATCCCCTGCTCTTTCCTGTACTAACTGCAAGGTTTCAGGTCTGATATTAAGATCCTTAATCCACTTTGAGTTGATACTAGTACAGGGTGATAGGTATGAATCTAGTTTCAGTTTTCTGCAGGCAGATAACCACTTTTCCCAGCAACATTTGTTGAAGAGTCTTTATTTTCTCTGTGGTATGCTTTTGGCAACTTTGTCAAAAATAAGGTGGGCATAGCTGCGTGGATTCATATCTGGGTCCTCTATTCTGTTCCAGTGGCCTTATATCTGTTTTTGTGCCTGTACCATGCTATTTTTATTGCTATGGCTCTGTAGTATAGTTCGGGCATTGTGATACATCCAGTGTTACTCTTTTGCTCAGTATTGCCTTGGCTATTTGTGGTCTTTTGTGTTTCCAAGTGAACTTTAGGGTAGGTTTTTCAATCTCTGTGATGAATGTCATTGGTATTTTCATGGGAATTGCGTTGAACTTGTAGATTGCTTTTGGTAGTATAGTCATTTTTACAATGTTGATTCTGCCAGTCCATGAGCACTGGAGATCTTTCCACCTTCTGTAGTCTTCCTTGATCTCTTTTTTTCAGTGGTTTGTAGTTCTCCTTGTAGAGGTCATTTATATCCTTTGTTAAATTTATTCCTAGGTATTTGATTTTTTTTTTTAGGCTATCGTAAATGAAATTGTTTTCCTGTATTCTTTCTCAATCTGTTCATTTTTGGTGTATAGAAAAGCTATTGATTTTTTTAAGTTGATTTTGTATCCTGCTACTTTGCTGAAGCAGTTTATGGTGTCTCGGAGTTTCTGGGTAGAGTTTTTTTGGGTCTCTGAGGTATAGGATCATGTCATCTGCAAATAGGGATAATTTGACTTCTTCTTTACCTATTTGTATTCCTTCTATTTCTTCTTGCCTTATTGCTTTGGCTGGGAATTCCAGGACTGTGTTGAATAGGAGTGGGAAGAGTCATTCCTGACTTCAGGGGAAATGGTTTCAGTTTTTCCTCATTAAGTATGATGTTGGCTGTAGGTCTGTCATGTGTAGCCTTTATAATGTTGAGATACATTCCTTCTATTCCTAGTTTTCTTAGAGCTTTTATCATGCAATGGTGTTGGATCTTATCACAGGCTTTTTCTGCATCTATTGAGGTGATCAAGTGGTTTTTGTCTTTGCTTCTATTAATGTGCTATATTACATTTATTGATTTTTGTATGTCGAACCATCCCTGCATCCCTGGCATGAAGCTGACTTGGTCATGGTGAGTGATCTTTCTGATATGTTGGATTTGGTTTGCCATTATTTTATTGAGGATTTTTGCATCAGTGTTCATTAAGGAGATTGGCCTGTAGTTCTCCTTTTTATGTGTCCTTGTCCAGTTTGGGGATGAGTGTAATACTGGCTTCATAGAATGAGCTAGGCAGTGTTCCTTCCCTTTCTATATCATGGAAAAGTTTAAGGAGGGTTGGTATCAGTTCTTCTTTAAAGGTCTGGTAGAATTCAGCTGAGAATCCATCAGGACCTGGACTTTTCTTTTTTGGGAGACTCTTGTTGCTTCAGTTTCATTACGTGTTATTGATCTGTTTAGGTAGTTAGTATCCTCTTGGTTCACTTTTGGATGGTCATAAGTATCTAGAAATTTGTCCATTTCCTCAAGATTTTCCATTTTATTGGAATATCGGTTCTCAAAGTAGTCTCCGATGATTCCCTGGATTTCCTTGGTGTTTGTTGTTATCTCCCCTTTTTCGTTTCTGATTTTACTAATTTGGGTCTTTTCCTTCCTCATTTTAGTCAGTTTTGCCAGGAGCTTGTCAATCTTGTTTATTTTTTTCAAAGAACCAGCTTTTTGTTTCATTGATCATAGCTCTGTTTTTCTGAAGAGAAGGAAGGATAATGTTTTTTGCCTGTAAAAATGACATTTAATTTCCTTGTTTGTTTTTCCCATGGGACTGGGGTTTGAATTCAGGGGTTCATGCTTGCAAAGTGGGCGCTCTGCTGCTTGAACCACACTTCCAGTCTATTTTGCTCTGGTTATTTTGGAAATGGGGGTCTCATAATACCAAAAGAAATAAAAACATTTACATAAAAGCTTGAACACAGTTGTTCACAGCATTATTGTTGTTGCTATTATGATGATTTTAATGACTATTATTATGATTTTTTTTTTTTGACAGGATATTGCTATGTAGCCCAGACTGGTCTCAAACTCCCAATCCTCCTGCCTCAGCCTCCTGAGTGCTGGGAATACAGTTGTGTTACCAACTCTGGCAAAGGCAGCATTATTCATAGTAGATAAAAAATGGAAATAACGCAAACGTCTATCTAATAAATGGATAAGTAAAATGTAATATGTCTATACAGTGGAATATGTTTTGGCAATGAAAAGAAATAAGTACTAACATATGTTGTAACATGGAGCAAACGTGAAAACATTTATACTAAGTAAAGAAAGTTAGTCACAAAGAACCATACATTATATGATTCCATTTACTTGGAATGTCCAGGATAGGCAAATCCATAGAGACAGCAGATTCTGATTGCCTGGGGCTAGGGAAGCAGGGAGAGAACTGGGGAAGTAAGGATTAAGAGTGAGGGATTAATAAAAATGCTTCTAAGGTTGTGATGACAGATGAACAACTCTGTGTATACCAAAACCCTTGAACTAGATACTTTAAATAAGTGAATTGTACTGTGTGTAAATTCTCTTTCTAGATGTCAAAGAAGTATGATAATAACTGTGCTGACATGCCTTTTTTCAGTTCTTTCTGCAACTTCAACAGGCAGCATTGGAGGTCTTTGCAGAGAATAATACACTCAGTAAGTTGCAGTTGGGACAACTAGCCTCCATGGAGAGCTCTGTCTTCGACGACATGATTAACCTCTTAGAGCGTTTAAAGCATGATATGTTGACCCGTCAAGTAGACCATGTTTTTAGAGAAGTTAAAGACACAGCAAAATTGTATAAGAAAGAAAGGTAATGTCATTTGTATAAATCAGCCTTAGGTTGTTTTTATGTTTTTGAAGTGCTGGGGTTTGAACTCAGACCCTCGTGCTGTAAGTCGCTTCTTAGCACTAGGTTAGTAAAAGTTGAAAGATGGTACATACAGTCAGATTTCCAAGGTGTTTGGACAGTATAGAATTTGGTCTTGTGCATTCCAAACTTTATCATCCCCCTTCCCCAGTGCTGGGGATCGAACCCAGGGCCTTGAGCATGCCAGGCCCAAACATTATCTGTTTTTGATGGAATCTTTCTAAAATTTATTTTTTGGACATTCTGAATCAGAATAAGTTGATGATAATTTATCCCTCAGCTGTTTGTAAATATAGAGGGCAGATATATGATCTGGAGTTCAATAGTCTAGCCTGTGGCTAATTTTAAAGGTAAGGTGCTTCTGTAGTACCCATTGCATGTTTGCATTGTACAATTTATTCTACTCCCATAATTCTCTGAATACCTGTTACCTCCACCAGAACGTGAGCTCTTTGACAACAGGTACTGTCCATTTCTCCTGTCATAGTCCCTACCACACAGGGACTATGTAGTACACAGAGTACTACAGTACAGTTTGGAAATATTAGTTCCTGTCATTTGTGTTGAAAAGCAAACTCTAAGATTAGCTGATGTCTTAAATGTCAAAAATACATTTCAATTTTAACTTTCATAATGGTTAAGTCATATATTAAATTTTTGGGAATTTTTGCAATATCATTCTCTTAGTAAACAGTATTTAATTGAGACCTAAAATATAAATATAGGTACATTTGCTTTTTGGTAGATCTTTTAATATTAGACTGTACATTTTTCTTATTTAAAACTCCCAGGACAGTATATTTCCCCAAAATTTAAAACAATTTGTTAAAACTTGAAAACACAAAACTTGATGAAAATTTTTAAAGTAAAAATTAATGTTTTTTTTCCCCAGGTGGTTGTCCTTGCCATCTCAGTCAGAACAGGCAGTGATGTCCCTGTCCAGTTCGGCTTGCCCATTATTGCTTATATTACGAGACCGTTTGCTTCAGTTGGAGCAGCAGCTTTGCTTCTCCTTATTTAAAATTTTCTGGCAAATGCTTGTAGAGAAGCTTGATGTATACATCTATCAAGAAGTAAGTAAGACCCTCAGTCCCACCAAAAAAAGAAAAAAAAAGTAAGAGTAGACTGTATTTGGGGGCTGTGTTGACAAAGACAGCTGTTATATGAATTATTCTTTGTTTCAGATAATTCTTGCTAACCACTTCAATGAAGGAGGAGCAGCCCAACTGCAGTTTGATATGACTCGGAATCTTTTCCCTCTATTTTCTCACTATTGCAAGAGACCAGAAAATTATTTTAAACAGTAAGCTTAATATTTAACAATTAATATTGATGTGTCCAGTTGTTGATGAAGGGCAACTCTTTTTTTAACAACTTTAGAGTTCCATTGATGTTTGGTGGAGAAAGAGCAATTAAAAACTTAGAATCTTCATTGTATATCTTCTATATGTTCAGAGCACAGTGGGGAAACCAAAATAATGTATAAGTTATGCATGACCTCAGAAAGTTGGCCAGAACTAGATATAACTTATTTGTTGGGCCTTGTTTCTTAGCGTTAGGTTTAATGCCAATTGTTTATTGCTAGGAGAATAAATAGCAAATGAAAGTATAATTCTGCCACATTCGGTAAATATAAGAAATTACAGATATATTTGCTAATAGTGCAGGCTAGAAGAAATCTATTTTCTTACATATTTGATAATAATTTTTGTTCTAAGTATATTTATAAATGTATCTGAGAATTGCTAGAAATAGTTCCAGAATTTGATTTAAAATTTATATTATATATAGGGTTTGTGAGATTCTGAAACATTCCTTGAAAGTTTACTTTTAAAATGAAAACATGGAGCCGGGTGCTGGTGGCTTACACCTGTAATCCTAGCTACTCAGGAGGCAGAGATGAAAAGGATCGTGGTTTGAAGCCAGCCTGGGCCAATAGTTCAAGAGACCCTATCTTGAAAAATCCCATCACATAAAAGGGCTGGTGGAGTGTATCAAGGCATAGGCCCTGAGTTCAAACCCCAGTAACACAAAATAAATAAATAAAATAAAATGAAAACTTGGGGCTAAAGTGGCTCAAGTGGTAGAGTGCCTGCCTAGCAAGTGTTGAGTCCCTGAGTTCAAACCCCTGTACCGCCAAAAAAAAAAGAAGAAAAATAAATAAATGAAAACTTAACGTTTGCTTGTTTCAGTAAGATATGACTATTGCCATTTTTAAATTTAGCTAGTATTCTACCTTTCTGTTGCCCTCATCTTATCCCTTAATTTTCTTTTATCCTATGTGCTAATCTACCTAATGTCATAGCTACAGTTAATGGTCTGTTAGTATCACATATTTTACTTAGAGAAATAATGCATACATATTGAAATCAATGCTTCTATTACCTACAGTAATCTAATGAATTATAAACTCCATGTACCTATGTGGTCACAACAAATTTAATGACCCAAATAATAAATTCATAAGTAGTTTTTGTAAAGGACACATGACCAGCAGTACCAGGAACTGTTTAGTTTCTCCAAATGAAATTGTTATGATATGGATGGTATGGATAACGGGGGTCTCATTTCCCTCATTCCTTTGCTTTCTTTTTTTTTTTCTTAAACAGTGTAAAAGAAGCCTGCATTGTTTTGAATTTGAACATTGGTTCCGCATTACTCCTGAAAGATGTACTTCAGTCTGCTTCAGAGCAGCTTACTGCCACAGCAGCGTTAAATGAGGTTGGAATTTACAAACTGGCTCAACAAGATGTTGAGATTCTACTTAATTTGAGGACAAACTGGCCTAACACTGGAAAATAATGCATCCTTCAGAAGAAGTTTTATGTTGCTGTTTTGTTTTTTTTTTTTAAGAAATTGGAAGCCTATTAGATTTTAAGTTATATGAGGAAGTTGTAAATTAATGAAGCTGGACAAATGAAAACTTTTACAGAATCGTTTATTGTCTTGGACTTAAGTTGTTATGAAAATGCTGACCATATTTCGTTTGTCCTCTTGTACCTGAGAAAATCAAAATCAGAAAACTCAGAAGCTATGAAAACACAGAGTAATTCCGTTTAGAAATATAAATGCTGAATATGTGTATAGAAGAAAATACAAGAACAAAGATAATAAATTATAACCAACTTTCAATTTCCTGTGCTAATTAAGGGAAAACTCTGTTGTGGATAATCACACATAGCCAATGCATTTTTTAAAAAATCATTTAAGAACTGGTGGAGTGGCTCAAGTGGTAACAGTACCTGCCTAGCAAGCATGAGGCCCTGAGTTCAAACCCCAGTGCCACAAAAAAAAAAAAAAAAAAAAAAAAAAAAAATCACTTGAGAATGTGTGTTGTATGACAGTGACAGCCTTTTCTCTGTGGATGAATATTTTAGGTCAGAGCATTCCACCTCAGTTTCTCCCCTGTGGCAGGGAATATAAACATTTGGTTTACTATTTATGTAACCAACGAGGAGATAAAAATCTTAAACTTTCTTTTTTCTTCTAACTGTATTAAATCCTCGGAGAGTAAAACTTTTAAACAAATTGAGCTAATTATCTGGAGGCTTTCTACAACTATCAAATTTTATTCCAGTTTTTTTTTTGTGTGTGTGACAACACCAAGTACTTTCAATGCTGTGGTATCATAAATCAAAAATTGTTAGACCAGCTTCCATACTGTTGATAAACATTTACTTTGCAGTAAGTAGTTCTGAAGAAATATTTTGAGATAAATTCTGTTACTCTATATTTTATTCAGAGATTTTCCAACTACTGAACTCAAAGCTCTTCTGGTAGTTCTGGCACTTTGGGCTTCATCTCATCCTTTGATAATTGTTGAGGTTTCCCATTGAGAAGAGAAAGAAGCTGCCTCTGGAACTTCCTCTTGCTCCAGCATTTCCCACTCTCCTCTCCAGGGGGAGTCTTTCCTATCCTCACTTTCTAGTTGCTAAAAGTTTGAAGGAAATGAAGTGTTTCTGTCAAAAGGTAGGAACCTGTTTACATGGTATTAATAATACTTCATGTCACATTATTAAAATATTTATCACTGTAAAAATAAACTTACACTTCATTCCTGAATTTCTCCAGTGTTACTAAATGTCCATCATCATTTAAAACTTCATCTGCAGCACTCAGACCCAGGGTTTTTAGAGCTATAAAAGTCAAAATTAGAAGAAATGAAAATTTACTAAGTGAGAATTATTTTTGGTTAGAGGGTCTTTTATGGGATGACTATAGCTATTACTTTAATTTGTAGGTGATACTGACCTTCTTTGTACTGCACAAATGATATTGTGCCTTTGCCTGAGGAGTCCATCATCTCAAACATAGCCACAATGTTAGAGTTATCCATAAAGAAAGGAATAGCTACGTCTGTTAACTTAGCAATTCTCAGACGTTCCAACAGAGAGATTAAATATTCTCTTGGATTTTCTGCAAATGAAGTAGTCATTTAACAATTATTAAACACCTCTATTCAAGGTACTGTGTTGGGCACTAGGGATGCAGGCCTTGTTTTCATGAGGCAGCAGGGAAGGTACAACATGGAACTATGAAATTACTATGTAATTACACACAGGTGCTGTACCGCAAATGACTGAACAGTTCAGAGACTGAGCCTGGGCAGTTTGGTTTTTTTTTACAAAGCTCCCCTGGTAATTTTCAGACAGAGTTGAAAACCAAAAAGACAAGGGGGGAGAAATGACCCAAGCATTGAATGCACATATGAATAATAAAAGAAAACAAAAAAACCCCAAAAAAGACAGAATAGCATGATTCAGGAAAGAAGTTGGCCAGCGAAAAGAGGATCATCATGCTTTCAGTTAGGAAGCATGATGTCCATTTCTAACATAAAAGCAGTATTTTGAATAATTAGGCCGTCTTTCACTAAGCAATTTTAAACATGAAAAATCAAGATCACTCTACTTTCAGGAATAATGCAGGACAATCATGACAGAAGTCAGAAGTAAAAATGGAGCAGCTTTGCTCCTCCTACTGCTCCATTTATTTCAATCCTAGGGTTTACTCGTATCTTCTTTTTTAAAAAAAGTTATTTTTGGGAATGAAATACGTTCATTAAAAGTAGACAGAAAAATTTAATAAACCTACCACCAACACAATTGTTAAATTTGTGGCCAGTTTTATTTCACTTTCCCCTCTTCCTGTATTATTTTGAGACAATCACAGTGATCATGTTTCTTAATAAATACTTCAAGTATCTGAAGAACTCCTTTTTCTTTTTCATAGTATCACAATACCATTCATCATTCTGAAAAACCTTTTTAGTATACTCACATAGCTGGTAGTATAAAAGTTTTCAGCTGTCTCACAAATATAACTTTAAACATTTTTTAAAAATCAGTGTAGGCTGGGCACTGGTGGCTCACACCTATAATCCTAGCTACTCAGGAGGCAGAGATCAGGAGGATCACAGTTGGAAGCCATCCCAGGCAAATAGTTCTGAGAGAACTTATCTTGAGAAAACCCTTAACAGAAAAGGGCTGGTGGAGTGGTTCACGGTGTAGGCCCTAAGTTCAAGCCCCAGTACTGTAAAAAAAAAAAAAAAAAAAAAAAATCAGTGAAAATGATTTTTTAAAAAAATCAATGTAGCTCAGTGGTAGCACACTTGCCCTAGCATACCTAAGGGCCTGGGTTTGATCCCCAGTATTGCCAAAAAAAAAATCAGTATTCAAATAGAGTTCACACATTGTGATAGATTTTAATTTATTTTTTCTGAGGTACTGGGGATTAAACTCAGGGTTTTGTGCTTGCTAGGCAAGTGCTCTACCACATGAGCCAGTCCTTATACGTGTATATATATACTTTTCGATGGCACTGAGGTTTGAACTCATGCTTGCTAGGCAGGCACTCTTACCACTTGAGCCACTCTGCCAGCCCTTTTTTTGTGGTGGGTTTTTTGGAATAAGGTCTCACACACTAATTGCCCAGGGCTGGCTTCAAACCATGATCCTCCTGATTTCTGCCTCCTGAGTAACTAGGATTGCAGGCATGAGCCACTGGCATCCAGCAGTTTTTTAATTGACAGTAAAAATTGTATATAAAGTGTTATGTGTTACTTCACATACTTTTTTTGTGGTTAAACATTTAAAGTCTCCTGTCAAAAATTTTTTTTGGATGGGGTGCTAGGGTTTGAACTCAGGGTTTCACGCTTCTAGGCAGGTATTCTACTGTTGAGCCACTCTGCTGGCCCTGTTCTCTGAATTCTTATGTAGACAGTATATTATAATTAACTGTACTCACTCTTATATACAATAGATCTCTTGAACTTATTCCTCTTGTCTAACTGAATTTTTGGGTCCTCTGACCAATAGTTCCTCAATCCCCATTTTACTGCTTCTTTGAGTTCTGTTTTGTTCTGCATATACTTGACCTTATGTGGTATTTTTCTGTGCCTGGTTTATTTATCATTATTGCTTCTCCATGTTCATCCATGGTGTCACAAATGACAGGACTTCCTTTATAAAGGCTGAATAGTATTCTATTTTGTATATATACCACATTTTCTTTATTTACTCATCTACTGATAAGACATTTAAGGCTGATTCTATCCATATCTTGGCTATTGTGAATCATGCTGTAATGAACATAGGAGTACAGGAGTCTTTCAACATGTGATTTCCTTTGACAATCCCAGTAGTGGGATTTTTAGATCATATGGTAGTACTTTTTTTTTCTTTGTGATACTGGGGCTTGAACTCAGGGCCTACACTTTGAGCCACTCCACCAGCCCTTTTTGTGATGGTATTTTTCAAGACAGGGTCTTTCAAACTATTTGCCTGGACTGGCTTTGAAATTTGAGCCTCCTGATGTCTGCCTCCTGAGTAGCTAGGATTACAGGTGCCCAGAGAGGTCATATATCATAATGCCAGGGGCTTCACAAGACCAAAATAGTATGCCTTCCTAAGACTCAATCACACCCTGATGAATAACACCAAAAACTTGTATCAAGAAATGGGAACATCTGCAGAACAAAACTCACGCGTTTTACAACAAAATAAGCAACTTCAAAGAAAGTTGTTTTGCCACATCAGGCTAAATTGCAGACACCCAAAGTATAAAAGCCTCCTTTCCTCTGCCAAGGAGGACTAGGCAAGAAGTTAGAGAAGCACTGAGCATGCATTATATGCCAGTCAAACTCTCCTTTAGCTTTCCTCCTCCCTCTACCTCTGGAGTCTGAAGGTATTTCATGGAGTTCACATTGTTAAATGTGTTAACAGCACCTCATGTTTTAAAACTGATAATTAAACTATTTATGTGATAGGTTTGATGTTACTAATGTGTGACTATTCTCTCACTTCCCTTCCACCACAGAGAATTTTGTCTTTATCTTTTCCCCCCTCACCCAATGCCTTTTACAGAACCCTTAAGATGATAAATTGTTTGACATGATAAATAGCTCAGAGTTTTTAAAAAGGCAAGAAAAGGAGTTGGAGAAGAGTTGAATGGGTTGTCTCATAGATTTGGAAGGTGACAGCCCCTCTGCAGCTGCTGTGGATATGAGTTGGGAAGCAGGAGGGAGGGGCTGTCCAGTGGTTTGCTGTGGATTAGCATTTAGAATCTTTGACTCCTTTCAAATTATGTATGGCTGATGGAATTATTGTGTGGTTTCTAGTGCAATTCTGTGCTGAAACTGAAATGATCATAGGAGGGCCATATATACATATACACACAGTATGTGTGTATATATATATACATATATATACATATATATGATATACACACATATATCATATGTATTATATAAATTGTATAATACATGGCAATGAATCATATATCATAAATACATAACGTTGGTGGGGGGAGGTGGCCCAAACAATGTATACATATGTGAGTAAATGTAAAAACAATAAAAAATACATGTTACATATTATAGTATGTGTATATATATATCAGATATTACATATAATTTCCATTAAAAATAGAAGTGCTCGAGTCTTAAGGAATGCATATCAGGCATCTAGTTCTGGTCTGATAAGTGAACTCATGTTGTGACTCAAAACACCAAAATTTTTCTTTCCTTTTTTTTTTTGTGGTGCTGATAGAAAATTTCAATTTTTTCATTCTGTTCACCCATTAGCTGCTATGTAGTATTTTTTTGGTACTGGAGTTTGAATTCAGAGCCTTGTGCTTGCTAGGCAGGTGCTCTACCACTTGAGCCATACATGCCCCCACCACTTTTTGCTTTAGGTTTCTTTGAATAGGGTCTCTTGTTTCTGCATGGGTTGTCCTGGGTCCCAGATCCCCTATTTAAGCCTCCCACTCCACCCCCCACACCACCTGCATAGCTGGGATGACAAACACAGGTCATCACACCCAGCTTTTTTATTGGTGGTGGAAAGAAATGGAAATACCAACTTTGCTAAGAAACACCCAACCAGTATGATCATGGACAGAGTGATAAAATGCTAATTGTTTTAAAGCAATAAAGCAAAAATTGTTTAAAAGTTCCAAAACAAATAAAATAGAAAGTGAAAAATTAGCCAGGTCTGGCTAGCTTTTTTGCCTGGGCTGTCCTAGAACCACAACCTTCCCAATCTCTGACTCTGGAGTAGCTAGGATTATAGATGTGAGCTATAGTGCCCACCCAGCAAGACAAATATTCTTATGTAATGAATACAATGTAACAAATGTATAAAAATGGGGAAAATGAATGTTTACCTTAACATCCAGTGAATATTATTAGGGGTTACCACACATCACACATTTATTTTGATGCTCTACGGACTGAGCTATCCGGGCTCACATCACACATTTATTTTGAAGAATCAAAAGCCTTGAAATCATTCAGCAGCCACACTGCTGCAGCTAATAGCTGAAGACTTCAACTTACAGTGCCAAGCACCAGAAAGAGACACTAGTCACTTTTCCAAAACATAGAATTAAAAAAATTGGTTTGGTAGCGAGTTTATCCCTCCGCATTAAAAAAAAGAAGTTAAGGATACTCCTTTGTCTTTATTTCTTTTCACTTTCTATTATATTTGTTTTGGAGCTTAAAGAGTTTTTGCTTTATTGCTTTAAAACAACGAGAAAGCATTTTACCACCTTAACCATGATCATACTGGTTGAGTGTTTGTTTGTTGGCAAAGTTGGTATTTCCATTTACTTCCACGGAAGTAAATGAACAGTGTTGGCATTTGGACACTCCAATATGGAGGCCGGCAAGCTGCAATTCCTGGGGAGACTATAATACCATTTTCATTTAACATAACTTCTTAATCACACACCACTCAAAAGTTACAAAATGACCCAAACTTTATAAGGGATTCAGATGTATTAAAATCCCGGTAAAAGCTATTTCCTTAGGAATATCCTTCAAGCTCACCCCATCAATCGTTTAGTCCGTTTACTAAACTGAACACTTTGAGAGCAGGGGTGGCATTGGAGAAGTGTAGCTTGCCAGGCACAAGGCTGATTAGTCAGCCACACTCCCACAAGGTGGGCACTATTACTATTACAGAAGAAGAGGCTGTGAACTTGAGCCTTGCCCTAAGTCACACGGTACTAAGGGGACGACCAGGGGCCAGGTTGCCCGCCTCCGCAGCCTGTCTCCAACCTCAAGAGCCCGACACTGTCTGCTGCCCCTGGCCGCAGCAGTCGCTCAATAAATACTCCTTCAACGAACGGCCACAGTCAATGGCAGCAGTAGGACCCCAGCAGAGCGGAAGTAGGGGAGAGGAAGGCAGCTCCGCATGCACCGACCACACCGGGAATATCTAGGGAACCCGAGGCAAAACCCTTACTCGGCCGGATAAAGAGGAGGATGCTAGTGACATAGTGCAGCAGCTCCATGATCCGATGTTTTTCCAAATACTTCTTAGCTTGCTGCTCCCTGTCGCCCGCGGAGGCCTCCATTGCCCGGCGCTCAGACGTTGCTAGGCGACCAGGCAGCGTCTGCGTCGTCGGACTCCGCCCCCGCCTGGCGGCCTGGTGACGTGACGCACCGGGTAGAGGCCGGCAGACATTGCTGTGAGTCTCGCCCGGACGGCTGTGGACGATTGTCACAACCCTCGTGGGCCGAGGGCTGGGCCTAGTGGCCATTGGTTCAGTGAGAAGACTTGGAGTACTGGTAACTCAGGACGAAAGAATAATTAACTTGTGTAACTCCAGGAGTGGGCGATGGAGAATTTTCAGTGGAGGCCGCCTGCAGGCGTGATGTGTGTTATTATGAGGTAGGGAGGACTCAGCCGGTTGTTTGGACTGGACGGTGGGACACAAAGCATGCCTGGATCCTAACTTCAGCGTCTGTTTACTGCTTGACTAGGCTGCCTGCAAGACGGTCCCAGGAGACAGAAGCCATCTGTCAGTCATTTTAATGGAGAGTCGCCGAATTAGTTGGGATGCAAGTGGCTAGGAGGACCTCTGCTTATATTAATCGGATTACCAAAGGGACTATAGTGAGATGCGGAGGCTCACCTCTGTAATCCCAGCTACTTGGGACAAAGAGATAGGGAGAATCATGGTTGGAGACCAACCTAGGGGAAAAAGCCAGATTCCATCTCAATCAATAAACCGCGAGTGGTGGTGAACGCTCATCATCCCAGCTATGGGCGAGGCATAAATAGGAAGATCGCCATCTAGGCCTGCCTGGTTATAAACAGGAGAGGGCCTATTGGAAAAATTAGTAAAGCACAACGGGCTGGGGTACCTGCCTAGCAAGTGGGAGGCCCTGAGTTCAAGCCCTAGTACTGCTAGAGGAACAGGAAGAGTGGGAGAGCAGGAGAGAGGATCACTCTTTTCACACCTGGGCAGCTCACACGCAGTAGCCAAATCGTCTTCTACCATTTGACAAAACCCTCAGTTTTGACATTCACAAATCCCACCCTATTGAACAAAATCTTAGCCCTCCTTTGTCCGGCCCCCCCACTCCCAAGCTTCCCTGAGTTTGACCATTTATCTGATTCTGACTCCTGGTTCCTGATAGGTTCTGGATTGAATTTGAAAACTATTGGTCTGGATGTTATCCTTGCGTGTTTTTTTTAAATTTTGGTGGTGCTGGGGTTTGAACTCAGGGCTTCATGCTTGCTAGGCAGGTGCCCTATCGCTTGAACCATGCCTCCAGACGTTTTGCTCTGGTTATTTCAGAAATAGGGTCTTACTTACTTTCTACCCAGGTCACTTGGTCTGCAGTCTTCCTATTTTTGTGTTTCCTACCGTCGATGAATGACAGGAACACACAACCACACCCCAACTTTTTTCCATCGAAATGGGATCTCACAAACTTTTTGCCCTGTCTGGCGAGGATGGCAATCCTCCCAATCTCAGCCTCCCAAGTAGCTAAGATTATAGATGTGAGCCACTGGTGCTCCACTTCTTCAGTGGTTTTTAATCTACTCTTTTGGGGACTTGTTTATGGTAGAAGGGACAGTGAAACATAAACAGAAGACTACCCTCCTCCAACATGGCCATATAAGACCACCCTTCAGGGTTGACCAAAGATGTGATCATTTGGGAAAATGACTCTGGCTCTGCTTCAGGGTCAGCACAGCAGAGGCCAGATGATGGCAACAGGGATAAGAAAATTGAGGGATCCCTGAAGAGGGGACAGTGGCATTGAGAAGCAGAAGACCATAGGCCTGGAGGAGGAGGACCTGAGTCACATCAATAGGGAGGTCATGTTTGCAGTCTTTGGTCATGGTGTCCTTTGACTGACTGGCTCAAGGTCGTGTGGCCAGGAGAGAGCAAAGTAAAAAAGATAAGGCACAGTTTTTACTTATCCAGGGGCACTGGTCCCCTGGATGCTGTGACTTCTGCTCAGTGCTACAACTGAAGATATTCAGGTTTCTCCTTATGAACTTCATGGATTTATTCTTCAGGAGTTACTTAGTCCCTAAATAAATAGTTCTGCTTTTTGTACTCCAGAACTTGGAATAGCACAGACATTGCAATAATCAACAAATTTCCTCTGCCTCTGAAGTCAAGCTGGGAAGCACACCGACCCTGCCCACACCTTCCCTGGTGGCTTGTTGTATCTATCCTGTTCCAACAAGTCTGTGTGCCTTTCTCCACCAGAGGAACAGTGTAGTTGGCCCAGTGCTCCCACACACATCTCAGACAGTGCCCAGTGTCCCTAGAAGTCATGCGATAGAGAAGTGTCCAGATGCCACCTAGTGGAGTCAGCCACTCTCTGTCGTCGCTGTCTCATAAGCCACACTGGGGCTTCATTGTCAACCTAGCACTTCTCCTTAGGACTCCCTTTCCTCCCCTCCTCATACTTCATAACGGTATTCCTGATCCTCTTTCTGGTTTGAGTCAGTAATTCCGGTAAGAGGCATTCGTGCAGTGGCTGTCAGCCAGCACTGCACATTACAGCCTCTTGGAGTCATTTCCAAAGTACTGATGCTAAATCTGCCTGTCAGTGACAGAGCTACAGCTCGGAGTACATGTGTGTGTGTCTGTGTATGTTGGGGTAGAGAGGGATTGTATAAAGGAGAATTGGGGAGACACGAGTGGACAAAAACTGGGCTGATTTCCTCTCTCTGTTTTCTATTTCAACTAGGGACAAGTCAGAGATGCCTCAGCTTGAAGTTTTGGTTGCTAAAAAGTAGGGAAGGGGCTGGGAGTATAGCTGTGGTAGCATGCTTGCCTAGCATGTGCAAGGACCCAGGTTGGATTCCCAAGCATAGCAAAAAAAAAAAAAAAAAGGAAAAGGAAAAATATAAAGGGCAATTTTTCCAAGAAAATATATTCTTAGCCAGTGTGGTGTAGTGACCTCTGGAACCAGACACCCTCACTTCAGATCTTGATTTTACCACTGACCATTAAAACTGTAAAATTTTATTTTTACCAAGTTATTGTATTGGTGAGCTGCATTTTTAGAGTTTAAAACAGAACTCAGCCTATGCTGGACTCTTTGCATTGGATAGGGCCTAGTGACTTGTTTTTAGCTTTGCAACCAGAATGTCACATAGGGCTCTGTGGAACTCAAGTCTCAAGAGTTCCACCTCAGACTTTGTAAAATGGTAACAGTCAGTCTCTGAAGAAGTTCCAGATATGCTCAGAAGGTGTGTGGAACCTTTCTCATTCCTTATGGACTAAAAAAAACTAATACGCTCGGAACTTTTTTTTTTTAAGTACTCAGGATTGAACATAGGGTCTCACACTACCATTGAGCTACAGCTGTGGCCCCTGAAAACATTTTCAAACACTAATTTAAATCCATTTTTACAAAACATGAATATGTAGAGCATATCAGGTGAATGGTCACATTATAGAGAAAGCAGGATGAGGATGGGATGACCTTGTGGGACACCCTTACAATTTGTCATTCCAGTTTTTCCTTTTAGATTCTCAAATAGTTTAAGACTCATGAGAAGTTGTGAAACAGTTCACAGAGTTCCATGTACCCTTCCTCTAGCTCTTCCCACTGCTGAAGGCTTACATAACCCCAGAATCAGGAAATTGATGTGGCACAATGTTACTAACTGAGCCCTAGCCCTTATTTAGCTCTTTACCAGTTTTTCCTTCTGCTTCATTTTTTTAGGCTACATCTGCATGTCAGAACATCATAAACTGAAGCTTCCATTGTACTGACTAGCCTTGATTAAGCTTTAATTAGGTTCAACAAATTGAAGAACAAAATGTATGAATACCAGCACTCTTTGAGCTTCCACATTATTTGTGTGAAGGATGACCTCAGATGTTGTCCTATTTACATAATTTACCCAAAGACATTTTCCCAGGAGGCTTCTCACTCACTAGCTGTGTGATCTTGAACAGATTGCTTGACCTCTCTAAACTTAGTTTTTCTCACCTGTAAAGTGGAACAATTTATATATCTCAGAGTTATTTCAAGGATTGAAATAGAAAACATGTACATGTATATAAATGGAAAAATGATACCTGTTGAAACTATTCCAGAAATGGGAAGAGAGGGGGGATAAAGGAGAACGGTGGAGGGGGTGAATTCAAGTATGATATATTTGATACATTGTAAGAATGTTTGTAAATCCCACCATGTGCCCCAACCCAGCACAACAATAAAAAATTAGATCTCTTAATGTATAATTGTTAAAAAAAAGAAAACACGTGAAATGCACAATCAATATTGTTATTAATCTACTGCTTCTGCTAGCACTACTGACACCATCACTGCCACCGCCAGGGAATAACTGCCCTTTAAGCCCATCACTCTCTCTGTCTCTATCTCTTTCTCCCCACCCCCTCTTGATGGGACTAGAGTTTTTGAACTCAGAACTCTGTGCCTGCAAAGCAGATGCTCTCCCACTTGACTCACACCTCCAGTCCATTTTGCACTGGTTATTTTGGAGATAGGGTCTCGTGAACTATTTCCCCCAGCTGGTCTCGAATAATGATCCTCCTGATCTCATCCTCCCAAGTAGCTAGCATTACAGGCATGAGTCACCGGTGCCAGCTAAGCACATCTCTTGACGTCAGAGTAGTACAGGTGTGGCTCAGAGCTTGCATCTGCTCAGGGCAGCTGGAAGTCTTTCCTCTCCTGGCAGATGGCAGATGGTGAGGTAGAAGGGTGTGCTTTCTCATGGCTGGGACAGTGGCCAGGTGACACACAATCTTGTCTTCCCTAGCTGAAACTGACAATGCATTTCCCAAAATAATACCACTGCATTGATGTTAGACTTCAGGTGCATTGTGGGATATATAGGCCTTTGTGGGTTGTCCTGTAAGCTGATCATTCTTAGTATTACCTTTAAATGGAAGAGCATATTAGGTTCCAGTGAAACATTTGGAGCACAGCCCACAGAGTGGAGATTGTTTATGCAAGAAAGAGAATTACTTATATATTATTTTTGAAACTAAGACATTCAGTTTGTCCCAATACTCTTTTCAAGCAGAAAAATGGGAAAAATTGTTGGCTTGAAAGTTCATTTCCAAGT